GACCCTAGGCCCGAAACGTCAGCCTTTCTGCTCCTATGATGCTGCTTGGCCTGCTGTGTTCATCCAGCCCTGCACCTTGTTGTCTCGGATTCTCCAGCATCTGCAGTTCCTACTATCTGAGCCAAGAAAGCCAGTTCAGTTCAAGAGGAATTAGGGATAGGTAATAAATGCTTGCAACCAACACCCACATCCCAAGCAAAAAATTAAAATTTCAAACAGCCAAGAACTGGCAAGAAAATAAAGAGTTTTGAAGAGTGTTTCACAAGTTTGTCACCTCTATCTCTGTGCCATTCGCTTTTGGTTTGAACCACTTCACTGAACACGTCCGTCCAATGTGGTCAACAGACTGCACGACTCCATACACGCCAACATCCTGAGGTCCTTGTGCTTATAGGGAACAGTGAATTCATGCAAAGCAGGAAAAACAAATCACAAAGCAGAAAGTGAGAACTATTTCTAGTTAGTACTTGGCAAAACTCAAATTGCAAAACAAAGGTTCTGCTCGATCAGAAATACTTCTGCACTTTTCCCCACTGGAAATAATTTAATTATCCCCAGCCTTCAAAAGGTAGAATGCAGCATCTCGAATACACAAATGGCATAAATCATGAGATACAGCCTTTAACAGTTTAATCAAGTATACGGATCATACTTAGAAAACAGGAGCAAGAGTAGGTGTTTTGTCTCTGAGCCCACTTCACAGTTCAATATGATCATGGCTGATCTATCAATGCCATACTCCCACACTTTCCCTATACTCCTTGATGCCTTTAGTGTCTAGCCATCCACCTTTTTTGTCAATATATTCAGTGATTTGGCCTCCACCACCTTAGATGATTGTGAATTCTACAGGTTTGCCACCATCCCAGTGAAGAAATTTTACATTTCATTTCTAAATGCTCTGTCCATTAACCATCATCCTTTGTTCTTTATGCTTCCCCTGCCTGGGGATAATCTGTGCAACTAGTCTATCTCACCCTGTCAGAATTTATACGTTTCATTGATATCCCCTGTCATTCTCAAAACTCCAAGAGCCAGGTGACTCAATCTCTCCTAATATGCCAAAACCACACAATCTCAGGAACCAGTCATTGCACACCATTTATGAATAGTGTCTGTCTTTTACTTGGTAAAAACATGCAATACTCCAGGTATGGTCTCACCAAGGCCTGATACAGGTGTAGCATGTTATCCTTGCTCTTGTACTTAAGATTCCCTTGCAATGCAGGTCAACATACCATTTGACTTTTTTTTTCCCATTCATCTTGTGGGATGGGGGCTTCGCTGGCTGGGCCAGCATTTATTGCCTGTCTCTAGCTGCCCTTGAGAAGGTGGTGCTGAACTGCTACAGTGCACCTAGGTAGGTCCTCAATGCTGTGAGGAAGGGAATTCCAGGATTTTGACCCAGCTACAGCGAAGGAACGGCAATGTGCTTCCAAGTCAGGATGGTGAGTGGTTTGGAGGGAAACTTAAGGGTGGTGGTGTTCCCATGTATTTGCTGCCCTTGTCCTTCAAGACGAAAATGGTCATGGGTTTGGAAGCTGCTGTCTAAGATTCTTTGGCGAATTTGTGCAGTGTATCTTTTGGTAGTACACACTGCTGCTACTGAATATTGGTGGTGGAGGTAGTGAGTGTTTGTGGATGTAATGTCAATCAAGCATACTGCTGCTTCCTGGATGGTATTAAGCTGGAGTGTTGTTGGAGCTGCATCCATCTAGACAGGTGGAGAGTACTCCAGCACACTCCTGACTTGTGTCAGGTAGAAGATAGACAGGCTTTGGGGAAGTAGGAAGTGACTTACTGGCCACAGTATTCCTAGCATCTGCCCGGCTCTTGTAGCAGTTACGTTTATGTGGCAAGTCCAGTTGAGTTTCTGGTCAATGGTAATTCCCCCAGTACATTGATAGTGGGGTGTTCAGTGATGATAACACCACTGAATGTCAAGGGACAATAGTTAGATTGTCTCTTTTTGGTGATGGTCATAGCCTGATACTTGTATGGTGAGAATGTTCTTTGCTACTTCAGCCCAAGCCTAGATATTGCCCATCTTGCTCCATTTGAAAATGGGCTCCCTCAGTGTCTGAGGAGTCATGAATGGTGAACATAGTGCAATCATTCGCGAACATCCCCACTTCTGACCTTATGGAGGGAAGATCGTTGGGCCTGGGACATTACCCTGAGGAACTCCTAGAGATGTCCTGGACCTGAGATGACCGACCTCCAACAAACCCAACCATCTTCCCAAGTCCCAGGATTAACTCTAACCAAAAACAACCAATTTATTCCTGTTTTCTGTCTGTTAATCAATTCTCAATCGATGCAAGTATATTGCAACTAATACCACACCCTTTAATTTTGCACATTAACCTGTTACATGAAACTTTGTGAACAATGTAAATCAAATATACCACTTGTACTGGTTCTCTCCAATTCTACTCGTTACATCTTCAAAAAGCTTCAAAAGGTTTGTCAAACATGATTTCCCTTTCATAAAGGCTTAGACTTTGTCTAATTCCATTGATACTTTCTAAATCTCCTGCAACGCATTCTTTGTAACAGATTCTAGCATTTTACCCACTACTGGTACTAAGATAAACAGCCTGTAATTTCCTGTTTTCTCCTTTCTAAATTGTGGGGCTACATTTGCAACCCTCCAGTCTGCCAGGACTGTTCAAGAATCACAAGTCTGGAAGATGATAATCAACATATCCACTATTTCCACTATCAACTCAGGCGCCCTGGGATATAGATTATTATGCCCTGGGGATTAACAGCTCAGTGCCATTATTTCGACAGCATTTTATTATTTTTAAAAACGCGAATTTCCTTTAATTCCTCCTCCTTAAAATCAAACATTCCTTCCCATTAAGTTACTTGTTCTTTTTCTGTGGAGGTAAAGGTAGCTGTTTAATTGCTCTGCCATTTCCATGCTTTCTTTTAGCTACTGTCATAATTCAGATAAGGGACCTACAAAATTTGTCTTCACTAATCTTTTTCTTTTTACATATTATGGCAACTTTTACATCCCACTTTTAAGTTCCTTACAAATTTCCTCAAACTCTTTTTCCCCCTCTTGATTAATCAATCTCTTGGTCCTCATTCACTGAATTCAAAAGACCTGGCAGTATTCAAAGGCTGGAAGATCTCTCTAGGCAAGCAAGTCTCAGCCAATTAGCATGACTAAAAAAATTAGCAGTTGCTCAATGCACTGGTCTGCAAAACGATCATCATGCGCACAGGCACCAGTAATTAAATTGTTCTGTGGTCACCTCCACTCCTACCAAATCCTGCCAAGTTTCCTCTCCATGTAATTCTGTAATGCTACTTCTGATTACGGCCTCAAATTAAACATTCCAATAGACAAACTTTTATTTAAAACGTATCCTGTTAAAGTCACCCATCAACTCTTTTATCCTCTAGAGAAGATTCCAAACCTTGTTTGTCTTTTCCTACAAGCATACCATCTCAACTCTGGTATCACCCTTTTAAATCTACTTTAGATTTTCTCAAATTGACTTTATACCCTTTCTAAAATAAGGCATTGGCCTAAATCTGGTCCTTTTTTCCCTACTGTCACTGTTTTACCATTCAATTTTGTCTCTGGATTAATAGTCTGGCAATAGTACCACTCGACCATTGTGCTCTTCCTATTAGGGGAAGGCAATCACTTTGATGGGATTGTACTACAGATCTCCAACAGCCAGCAGGTCCACAGGAGACGCCATCTCCCTGGCCCTACACTTATCCCTGGAACATCCTACACATTAGGCTCCCACTTACTGACTACAGCTCTGCCTTTAAACACTAATTCTAACCAAACTAATCTCCAATCTCAGAGACCTAGGTCTCTGATCCACCTGTTGCGACGGGATCCTCGACTTCCTGGCCTACAGAGGTGAGAATAGGTAACAGCACCTCCCCCACAACAATCCTCAACACCAGCGCCCTGCAAGACTGTGTACTCAGCCCCTTACCATATTCCCTGTACACATGACTGTGGGGTCAAATTTTGTCCCAACTCCATCTACAAGTTCGCAAACTACACCACCGTTGTAGGCCAGATCTCAAACAATGACGAGACAGAATACAGGGAAGAGATGGTGCGCTTGGTGGAATGATGTAAAGATAACAATCTCTCCCTCAACATCAGCAAAATAAAAGAGCTGGTCACTGGACTTCAGGAAGCAAGGTGGAGGGCATGTCCCCATCTATATCATTGGAGCTGGGGTGGAGATGGTGGAGAGCATCAAGTTCCTAGGAGTGACGATCACCAATCTGTCCTGGTCCACCCACACTGACGTGATGGTCAAGAAAGCACAACAACACCTTTACTTCAAAAAGGCTAACGTAATTCAGCATGTCCATAAAGACTCGTACCAACTTTCATAGATGCACTCTATCCGGATGCACCAAGGCTTGGTATGGCAACTGCTCTGCCTAGGACCGTAAGAAACTAGAGCGTTGTGAACACAGCCCAGCCCATCACACAAGCCAACCTTCCATCCAATGACTCCATCTACACTTCCCACTGCTTCAGAAAACCAGTCAACATAATCAAAGATCCCTCCCACCCCAGTTATAATCTCTAACCTCTTTCCTTGGAGTGAAGATACAAACGCTGAAACACACGTACCAACAGATTCAACAACAACTTCTTCCCCACTGTTATTAGACTTCTGAATGGACCTCAAATTTAATGGTGACCTTGCTCTTTGTGCACCTTCTCTGCAGCAGTAACACTGTTTTCCTCACTTTGTTCTATTACACCCTATGTACTTTGTATGGTATGATTTGCCTCTACTGCACGTAAAACGAAACTTTACCTAAGTGCATGGAGCAATGATAAATCAAATCAAAAAAGCAGGAACAGATATATCGACAGATATGAAAAAATATAAAAACAGGGTTCTGATGGTGGGTGATTTTAAATTTACCCTACATTGACTGCAACTCCCTCAGTGCCAGGGGCTTGAATGGGGGAGAATTTGTTACATGCATCCAGGAGGCTATCTTAAAACAACATGAAAATAATGCAACTAGGGAAAGAACCTTACTAGAACTGGTATTGGGGAATGAGCGGAGCCAGGTGATCAAAATTTCAGTGGGGAGCAATTTGGGAACAGTGGCCAAAATTCTCCAAGTTTAAGTTACTTACAGATAAGGATAAGACTAGATCTCTAGCAAACAGCAAACTTTGTTTTAACCAGCACTTATGTACCAGCACTCTCGACTGACCAGCAAAAATCGTATACCTGTATAGCCAGATGTTTACTGCATTATCATGATCTCCAAGTAGTCAGTTGGGAGTGCGAGTGAGAAGGCTCTCTGCCAGTTTTATTTCAGTTATTATTTACAGCATAAGTTACAAATAAAGTATAAGTGATGGG